AGCTGGTCGTAACCCGAAAAGTTCATTAGTAGAGGCATTCGTATCCCGAGGTACCACTGTAGTTATATTAGCTTGTATGATGATATTATGAAACATATATGGCTCTACTAAAACTCATACTTTCTAGATTTATGTTTTCCCAGTCCTAGTCCAACAGTGTAGCCACTATACCAGTGTTTCTGGCTGGTTGGGGAATTCTGGGATTTAAAGTCCACACATCTTAAAGTTGCCAAAGTTGAGAAACACTTCACTACACCATACTGGCTATAGCAAATGTACCCAAGAATGGTTGCACACACTTTAACTGCTTCTTACTAGTAATTTCATCCCAGCCAATTGAATATCTCATAGCTAGTGTGATGTCAAGATAAAACAACGGTTATTCAGTTGAATGTGAACAACTGACCAAGTTACAGAGCTAATGGGTGAATGTATTGACCTTCTTCAGAGTGATTGATTTTCTCTTAATCCCAATTTAAAAAAAAAAAATGGGATGCTAGCTTCAGGAATATGAATTTATTTTTTTATTTACTGATTTGCCTACTGCTGTAATTATATACTAGGCTCCCAGTGTTTAACAAAATAGAACATAAAACCTGAATAAAACAGAATAAGTAAAATATATTAAAACTCCTAATAAAAATGACAGCCTAGCCAGTCTGGCACAGATGCCCATTCCCTTATTACCCCAAGGTTCTCCAAAACAATTCTGTTTTATCAGTTTCTGGTATATGTCAGGGTCGGCTTCAATTTGGTCTCTGGGGGAGACTATTCCAGATAATAGGAGCCATTGCTCAAAAAGATTGCTCCCAGGTCACCATTCCCCTCATCACCCTAACATAGGGACTACTGAGAAACTCTATGCAGAGCATAAAGGACAGGTTGATTCAACATGGAAGAGGTGAAGCTGAAGAGTTTTTCTGGCCTCTCCAGTCTAAGATAACTACAAAGTAATTGTGCTTAATGGATATCGAAACACTGACTGAACTGGACATCTTAATATAGGAGTGGTTAAAAAAGAAACTTGTTTAGAATTATCAGTGATGGAGATAAACATATTTCCAGTATTTCTCCTAAGCATAGTTAAGTTGGAATGGCTAGGTGATGAGAAGGGATTCAAAGAAGAGAAACTTGTCCAAAGTTCCATAACCCAGTTGCTAGTTAACTGGTCTATTTATCCAGGGTAAAAATAAGCAGTAGTATATGTCTTTTGTTGTTGTTGTTGTTGACATTTTATGTGGATTTAGCAAGAACTGGTGCAGGGCCAGATTAGGTATTAACCCCTACATGGCATAGGGCCTGGTTAGTTGAGAGCCACTTATCTCCCATCGTATCTGCCTGGCTGATTTGATCTGGCAGGGTTGGCATGCTCTGGGTTTCTTCTATTAAATAATGCCATCTTTTGGGACTGTGGGAGCACGCCTTCTCTGTAGCAGTGTCTGGCTTCTGGAATGAAGTTTGCCCCAAGAGTTAAATGGCCCCTACCCTACTAGTGTTTCAAAGGGTCCTGAAGACCTGGGTCTTCTCCCAGGCCTTTGGGAAGAGTGAATGAATCCCCCTTTTCTTCTTTTTCTTCCCATCTGGGGTTGTCATCTCTGTCACCTTTTTTATTTATGTTTTATGTTGTTTCCTTGGTTTTAAATGTTTTTAACAAAGAATCACTGGGAGTTGGGTGCCATATAAATTTAATGTATTATTATTATTACCAAAGTATCTGTTATCTGAGTCAAAGGACCTAGAGTGTTCTATCATTCACCCACCCTCCAGGTCAGGCTCTAAATTACCACTAAATAGACCTAGGTCTCAAGAAACTTAAGCTTAAAGCATAAACCCATGCTACTATGCCACCTGACCCCCCTTTTCTTTGCCCCTCCCCCCAGCTAACAAATGCTGTTTATAACCCAGATAGTTGTAACCTTATAAAGGACATAAGGAACCAGCACCTCCAGTTTGCTTAGACATCACACAAATAGAAAGAAGTGCATAAGAGTGAATGGGATGCATGCATCTTATTCTTTGGAATGAAGATCTATCATTCTGTGTAGATAGAACAAGTGTGAGAATGAGGATCACTTGCAAGCAAACACAGATGTATATTCTAGTACCAGAACTATTGTAAACCTTAGGAAAGCTTGAAACTTTATTTATTTCTTTTTGTCCTCAAAAATCCAGTCTGCTCTAAGGGATCAGGAGAGAAGAAAATTGCCCCACATATCAGACCAACATCCAAGTATGATACAACACTTATGGACGATAAATACATATGTAAAGAACGTAAGTGAGTCAGATGGTACAAAATCTGGAGCATTAGCAAAGTTTAAATTTAAATAATAAGTTCATTAATTCAGTCAATCATTCATACGTATATCACCAAATTTTAGTAGCTAACTCAAAGAGATGTGATGCATAATAGAGAACATGGGTTGATGTAAACCTGCCCCATATGGGAGTTTCTTCTCCCTTGGTTTGGAAAGCTCCTAAATATTTGTTATTTCTCTGTCCTTTTTATATATTTTCATGCATGGAAAGAAATGATCTAATTACATGCCTAGGATAACTTGTTCTGCCCTTACTAACTGCTTGGATTGTCTGGGGCAAGTAATTATTAGATGTTAAATTAACTACTGACCAGTAGGAGGCACAACATGACTGTTTTCAACCTTATTAGGACTCTTCAGGCATAGATGGAGGATACCTATACCTGAAGAGTCCCAATATGGACAAAAACAGTCATATAGCCATGAGGCCTAAACTAATAAGAATCACATAACTCTCTAGCATGAGTGTATATGCGCATGTGTATGTCTGTCTGTCTATCTGAAAGTCATACCTGCATAGCTTCTACAAGTTATTATTATTAATCGTTTTCTGTTGCCTTTTCATACAACTGTACTGATAATGCCTTTGTTTACATTCCCTCATCTGGTCCTGTTACCTGGCCCATTCCATTGGCTGGTATCTGTCATGAGGAGACAGTGCTATATCATGCAAGTTGCTTTGTTTCTGATTGGCTCCCTTTTCTTGCCCACAAGCTGTCCATTACTTTTGCAGGTATATTCCGGACCATTAGGTTCTTCTCTCCCTTCTTTGTTGCCTATAGCCCATGTTTTTGCATTCTTTCAGTCTTTCCTCTGGCCTTGTTTCATCCCATTTTATTCCATACATCCATTCACACCCCAAAAAGGCTTTCTCTAACCTAGTACAATAGTTAGTATAAGTTGCTTTAATAATCACAGATTAACCTAAATTCACAAGAGCTTGAGATAATGCCCAATATTCAATGCCTAATGGTTAAAAGTATTCATAAGTGCTTTTCTTAGGATCCTAATTTTAGGATCAGATAACTGATTTTGAAAAAAATATATTTTTTTTTCATATGTAAAAAGATATGGTATTGTGGACCTTGAATATCTGTTTGAGAAAATGCTAATATCCGCCACATTTTTCATACAGAACTTCTGTGAACTACATATAATTTCAAAGTAAAGTGTGTGCTCGAGCTGTCTTTTGTCCAAAAAAAGGTTAATCTGTGTTTTTTCGATCAGACAAGGATTCGTCAAGATCAATATACTTTCCAAAGGAAATGCCCTGTGGCAGACAATACATAGCTCACCAGAAGCTTTCCAGTGATCTTCCAGTGATCTGTCTTTTGTCTACTAATGCTGTGAATTATGTTAAATGTTTTTTGTGAGTGAAATACTAATACTGTAGTACTAGTAATAAACTAAAAATGCTTTCCTACCAGAAAGATGGAGAGAGAAATATCTGATCCACACCAGAAGAGGGCAGCAGACAGTGGCAGGACCTTTTTAATTCACTTTGAAAACAATTTTCGTTTGTTTTTTTTTAAGTTAAATAGATATGCATTGTTGAAAGTTTAAGGTTGCATTTAAAGCACTTTCTTGTCTCCATTACCATTAACATGATGAATGTTCCCATGCGTACTATTGATTTGCATTGTTTTATCTATATAATGATTCCCTTTTAATTGTACTAAGTAAATTAAATCATTACATAGTGCTGTTCACTTAGGTTGCAATTCAGTTTTATGTTTGTAAGTCGCATTGATCTCCCAGAAAGTATGCAGGTACTCTGCTTGGAAACACATTCTCAGTAATAAGTAGTAACTTCTTGCTTTCTTGCTAAAACAACAGGGGCCTACCCTCTTTGATTACAGATGAGCTTCTTGTCCAAGAATTAGAATTTGCTGGTAACCCATGTTGCAATATTTCTTTTAATCAGGTGCAGTTTGGGGATGAGTTTCCAATTCAGCTTGGAAAATGTTCTTGTGATGCAAAACAAATTGAAGGCAGTGCCTGGCCACCATCAGATGAGCAAAAGGAAACCCCTTGCATTACTTGGCAGTTTTTAAGGCCAAACTTTGCACAAGAAAGTGAGTTTTCTGCTTGCCTCAATCACCGTGGACATTTGGAAACAATTTTCTGATTTTTGATTGTATGATTTTCTTAAGATAAGCCAATGGAGAGGAAAATTTTACTATTTTTAACAATGCCAACATAACATTCAATATTTAATATTCTCAATAACTTTGTATTTGAAACATAGCTCATCCCTTAGATGGGATTTGTAGTAGATCTCTCTTTATGTTTATTATCTTTTCTTCCTTCCTTCCTTCCTGATTTAATTAGAGTATGAGGTTCCCCTGAGATCTGTGTGTCTCCCATTCTTATGGTGTTCCAGAAGTTGGGTGGTGCCTAAATCAAATGAATGAATGAATGAATGAATGAATGAATGAATGAATGAATGAATGAGTAAGTAAGTAAGTAAGTAAGTAAGTAAGTAAGTTGCTTACTTCAAAGATATGTTCACTATTCTCCCCATTGACTAAAGATATGGATAGAAAATGTATACATATATTCC